GAATGAAGAACACCAAAGACACAAGGAAAGTATTAGCCCAAGAGACAGAAAGGGCCACATAAACCAGAGACTTCATCAGCCTGAGACCAGAAGAAATAGATGGTGCCCGGCTACCATAATGACCGCCCTGACAGGGAACACAGCAGAGAGTCCCTGACAGAGCAGGAGAAAAGTGGAGTGCAGAACTCAAATTCTAGTAAAAAGATACAGACTTAATGGTCTGATTGAGACCAGAGGGACCCTGGAAAACATGGCCCACAGGATCTCTGTTAGCCCAAAACTAAAACTATTCCCAAGGCCAACTCTTTTTTTTTTTAAATTTTTTCCCGTACAAAAATTTGTACATACATTGTTTTGTGACCCTACTTGCTCTCCCCATTCTGTGACAGCACCCTCCCCCTTTCGACCCCTGATTCCCCATGTCCATTCAACCAGCTCCTGACCCTCTCTGCCTTCCCATCTCGCCTCTGGACAAGAACTGCTCGCTTAATCTCTTGTATCTACTTGGCCTGAAACTAAAACTATTCCCAAGGCCGACTCTTCAGACAAAGATTAGACTGGACTATGGGACATAAAATGATACTCGTGAAGAGTATGCTTCTTAGCTCAAGTAGATACAAGAGACCAAACGGGCAGCTCCTGTCCAGAGGCGAGATGGGAAGGCAGAGAGGGTCAGGAGCTGGTTGAATGGACATGGCAAATCAGGGGTGGAAAGGAGTGTGCTGTCACAGTATGGGGAGAGCAAGTAGGGTCACAAAACAATGTATGTATATTTTTGTATGAGACACTAACTTGAATTGTAAACTTTCACTTAAAGCACAATTAAAAAAAAAAAAAAAAAGTTCAGTTGCTAACCAAAAAGTCAACAGTTTGAATCCAACAGCTGTTCCTTGGAAACCCTATGGGGAAGTTCTACTCTGTCCTATAGAGTCGCTATGAGTTGCAATCAACTCGATGGCAACGGGTTTGGTTTGGTTAAAAGCCAGGCAGGAGGCTGAACTGGGAGGGGAGCAAGGGCCCCAGCTGTGCCTTTGGGCCTTCCCCCGCTCAGTTCTGGGGAAGCCTGAGCGCGTGGTGGTAGCAGCAGGTTTAGAAACCGGAGTTTCCCTGAAGTCCCCATGACAGGACAGTCCTCTACCCTATGCCCCAGGCCTCTGCAGAGCCCACTTTCTCCTGGAAGCCTCCCCCAGACTCAGAACAACACAGTTTGGTTTTGGATAAGAGTGCCTATCCTATGCTGAACCCCACTGAAAAAATAACAATAAATGTAAATGCCACAATTTTCCCAGTGCAAATATAACAGTAAGTAACTGCAGGATTTTGTGCCCACCTGCTCTAGGCAGGAAGAATTGATGCTTTGAAGTATGGTGTTGGCAAAGAATATTGAATATACCACAGACTGCCAGAAGAAAGAACAAATCTGTCTTGGAAGAAGTACAACCAGAATTCTCCTTAGACGTGAGGATGGTGAGACTTCATCTCACGTACTTTGGACGTGAGGGACCAGTCCTTGGAGAAGGACATCATGCTTGGGAAAGTAGGAGGTCAACAAAAAAAAGGAAGACGCTCTAGGAGATGGATTGACATAGTGGCTGCAACAATGGGCTCAAACACAGCAACAATTGTGAGGATGGCGCAGGACCAGGCAGCGTTCTGTTTTGTTGTACATGGGGTCGCTATGAGTCGGAATCGACTTGACAGCACATAATTGCTGCTCGTGGCACAACCCACGTTTTATCAAACCCTCTGAAGGTCCTGATGGAAAGTAGTGACTACTGACCCAACTTGGCAATGAGGAAACATTGGATCAGAGGGGAGGCAGCTTTCTCAAGAGCACACAGCTGATGGTTGAGTGCAGGGACTGGGAAGAGGCCGCAACAGGCTATTGGTGGCCCAGCTCAGCCTGGCTGGGGCTGGAGAGCTTTATCCTGTGTCTTCTACCCAGGGGCAGAGACCACAGCACCTGCTCCAGAGTTATTTATGGGCAACTCCTAAGTAGGCATAGGTCAGGGACAGAGGCCAGGAAGGCTCAGGAGCTCTGAAGCCAAGGGAGGAAGCTCCTGTCCCCAAGGGCCCAGCAGGCAGAGCTGGGCCAGGGGTCAGGGGAGGCTTGTCGAAGGACAATTCATTCCTTTGCCCCTGTGCCAGGTGTGTTGGGCCCGAGAGACCTATCTGGGAAGGGGAGAAAAGGACAAAGGCTCAGCCTGGGTCGAGGGACAGGGACCCTGAGAAGAGGGGAATGTGGTTAACCAGAGTCCAGGTGGAGGACGCTGTTAGGGGAGGGTGTGACAATATGACCCAGCTCGGGCATCCACTGAGACCCAGCAGTGGCATGTTGGAGGCCAAGGAGCAGGTGTGCAGAGGGTATCCAATGCAGGCAGGGCCTCCAATGCTGAGTGGAGGGGCTGGGGCTTTCCTGAGGAAAAGGGGGGCCATCCAGGGCATGGGGGCCCCTTTGGGCTGGCATGGGAGGAGGGGTGAATTTGGAGGCCCTTGAGGAACCAGGAAGGGTCTAGGGTCCCCTGGGTAGGCCAGGGCTATAGCTCAGGGTTCAGCTCTCCTCTGTGACCCCAGGCAAGTCCCTCACTTTCTCTGAACACTCAGCTAAATGGGGTGCGTGGGTATGTGTGTCAGCCCTCAGAGGTGGGTCAGTTAAACCCCAGGCCCAGGCTGTGGGACCCCACAAATCCCACCCCCCCAACCCCCCAGTGCAGCTGCAGAGAAGGCCCGTCGTGAGCATGATCCAACAGTTCCAGAGCTTTATTCATGGTGATGCCAACGTACCGTACAAAATGCACCTTCCTGGGCTGGCAGCATAAAAATCAGGATGCTTGTCCCAGAAGAGGAAGGGAAGAGAGGGCTCGACCGCCAAGGAAAATAAAATCAAAACACAACATGATAAAAGAAGCAGGCCTGAGTCGGCTCAAATGGAGGCGCTGTGGGCAGTGTCGCAATCACGGCTGGCGGCAGGGAGGCCTCCATTCCTAGGGCTAGGCCGGATGGGGCCAGCGCCTGAGTTATTTTTAATGATTTTCAGGGTGGGGATGGAGGTGGGATTTCTCGGTAGCAGTCTACCTGTGGGGGAGAACCTGGCGGCAGGTTTCACTTCGGGGGTTTGGAGAGGAAGTTGGGGTATGTGGGGCGGGTCCCGCCCGGCCCCATATGTCACAGCAGAGGCTCTTGGAAGTGGCTGAGCGAGGTTCCTTCCTGCCCGGGCCCTAGGTCTATGGCTTAAAAATCAGGGCACCCGGGCTGGGGCCGCGCAGCCCAGGGGCCTCTGTAAACAAGGCAGGCGCAGCCAGGAGTGGTTTCAGGGACCCCAGCGGCCTGCAACAGA